GAGATGCATTGTTGTTGAAATACTCTAAAGGCAAAGGAATGTTAGAAGTGCAGAGAAATACGTAAAGAATATATTAGGTCTTGACGTTAAAGAAGACCTTAGGTGAGATGGATAGTTATTGAAATATACTAAAGACAAAAGAATATTAGAAGGGCTGAGATGAGATGAGATGGAGTGTTATTGAAATGCACTAAAGGCAAAGGTATATTGGAAAAGCAGCGAATATATGAAAAATGTCTTGCCGTCTAGAAAAACAATAAATCAGATGCACATTTTAAATTATTTTTAATTTAAATAAATTAATTAATTTTAGAGTTTAATGTTTATATTCTGTTTTGATTTTTTATTAATTTTCAGTAATTGGTAGAAAGATTGTTGTATTTAAGAAGTTTTTTTTAAATTTTTTTCTTTGTGAATGAATAAAGATTTTACAAGTTTTTATAGGCACAAGAAGAAAATAACGCTGCCTTATTGCTGTAGAGCATTTTGTAGGTCTAACTTCGTTTAAGAAAGCTCATGTAAATGTATGAAAACATCGCAGATTTATATTTATTTAATGTGAGACTCTTTTTTCGACTGACTCTCACGCTGTAGAAAACTCAACTTCAAAATTCGAAATTCGAAAATAGTAGGAACTTTTTTTAAAGGTTTCTAGAAAGTCACAGATACATATAGCTACTCTGTAGAATGAAACATTAATGGAGCATTCGAGTTAATGTGAGATTAAAAAATAAACTAAAAAAAATATTTAATTTCTATTTTTAAGTCTACATAAATAATTATTTTTGTGAAAATGTGCGAGCATTTAATGTGGGAGTATTTTTGGTAATACTAGCAAAAAAAATCAAATTTTAACTACTCTTTTACTCTTTTTTTTACCATTCCTTCTAAAAATCACGTGCCGTTCACTTGTTCAGAACATAATTCTAATAAAAAAAAAATCCTCATATTTCAGAAAGCTCAATGAAAAATTGAATATCCTATTGGAAGTAATTTTCAAACTGAACATGGCATTAATTCTAATCATGCTGGTAGAATGCGACAGCTGGGTTCGTGACTGCAGCGACACAATGTGCCCGCGTCATTGACACGTTGTGCAGCTGTCATTACAACAAGCACCGAGCACCGCCATCAAAGTATCAGAGGTGCTTAGTGCCAGAACGAAAGGGCGTAACCAACAACATCATCGGAAACAAGATTATCCACTGTCAAAGCAATCGACATAGAATACGTGCACTTGCAGCATAATGTAAAGGACAACTGCGCTAACAGGACAATGTGCTGTTGCTTTGTAACTAAACTGGGAGTTGAGTATAAACTGGGAGAAAAACAAATGAAGATTCGATGACTATACATGACTTAAAATACAATAGCTTCGTGTCAGTTTTTTTTCCAATCACAGCAAATAAAATTTCTTGTAATTTTCCTTACGAAAAAAAAACACAATTTTAAAATACATATAAAAACAAAAAAGAATACTTGTGTCTTTAGGTATAACAGCCTCGACCTTAAGTTGAACTATAAACCGACATACTCAACACAAGTGAGGTGAGCTGACTTTTTTCTTATTGTACATTTATAAATTTTTCTTAAATTCTTTTGATATTCCATTTTTAAGTTTAAGTTTTGTAAACCTTCAAAACTTAAGTGTCGGAAATGCAAAAAACCATGAAATTAACTCGTAGCGTAACGTAACAAACGTAACAAGACAACAACATTACGTAGCCGCAAACTCTGCCATACACTTGTAAATTTTTAGCAACAACAACAAGAAAAATATAACAACGTCGCACAGTGTAGCAGAATTAAAACTAAATAATCAAAATTTGGTGTTTTCTTAATCCGCAAAGGAAAAAAATTAATTTTTGCTTATACCATGTTTCAACTTGTTTCATTTAGGTAGTTTTGCTCATTATGGCCCCTAATTAAGATAACTAATCCAACAAGGAGTTTTCATATCAATAAGCTCATTATAAATTTATGAGCTCATTAATGATTTAAAACGAAAAAAGTCGAATTCTTTAACCAAATTTTTCACAAGAAAAATGATATACCTTTGAAATATTTATCATATATTTTATATGTAAAGTGTAAACAACCAAGCTATTTCGCATGCATAAATTAGTCAATGGAAACGACCAAACCAGAGTTTCATGAATATAAATGGTATTAGGAAACATGATATTAACATTAATTTTTCAGACACCCAAAGTTTTTAATATTGTATGTATAAAAGTGATTCTAAATCAACTTTGCAATAGTCAAGTAGATTTTGGGCAGACTTCAGGATGTCCATATGAATATAATCTGTGATAATTGCGTTAGTTTTTAACCAACTTGCTTGAAATTTGAATTGCAAATAAATTAAATACGTTATTATATGTTATTACATATTGGTTTTTTTGTTTCTATAAAAGGTTAATTAAAGACCACATTTGAATTAAGTAATAAAATGGAGTTCAACGGACAATTTTTCGTTTTTTTTATCAATCTTTAACATTTGGATATTAAGAACAATTTATAGAACTCAAATACTCTTTTTAGGTTTAGGTTTAGAAATGTCTGTTTTTTTTTACCTTTTCACTTATCAAATTTTACTGTTTATTCAAATTGTAAACGTTTTTAAAAAAATTAATAACTTCACAGGTTTCCCCTACTTAGCACTATCTAATCTCAGAGTAATCACTAAATCTTAGATCAATCGTTGAATAATCACGAAGATTATCAGAAATACTCAAATTAGTCAGTGAGATGAGTGGGACTCAACAGGATCCCCCGAGCTATCATAGAGTAAAAGTGTCCAGATGCACTATCTCGGAAAAGGCTTAACATAACTAACAGGTTTGAGAAACTACAAAATCACCATTTTCCGATTAGCAGTAAAACAGTTTTAAGGATATGAATGAAGTTGGCTTAATTTTGTAAAAACTCAATTTAATTGAATTGCAAATAACTAAAAAGCTAGTAGTTGAATTTATCCCATTCCTTGTTGTATTTTTATAAATGTCATGAATATTTTTATAAAATAAAAAATAGATTATTATGCAATCTTTGTATGGGAGGTGATAGGTGATTGCTGCTGTGAGTGGATTGTCACGAAATCTTCTGAACCTTAGTGATATAGTACAAGTATTTACCAAATTTAATTTTTTTATCTATTAAATACGAGTTTATAAAGTGTTATATTTTGTTTTTTTTTTAACATTCACTTTTTGGATATGAATAGTACAGTTCTTAACTATATGTAAATTTATTAATATTGTTGAAGTATACTTAATAGATTTTAAGTGAGACGTGTGCGGGTTTACTGAACCCGTTCAGCTCCCATAAAAATAATTTATAATATAAATATAATTATATTATTTAAGTATTATATAAAAGTTAAAATTTAAAAGATGTTTGAGATTGGACTTACAATACATTCAAAAGTCCACTTCAAAAACTATATCTCAGAAAAATTTTATTTGAATATTTTGACTAGTTCAGAAAATACCGAATTTTGTTTGTCAAAATTTCATTCTGACTCACTGTGCCCACTGTGATGACAACAACAATAACAATAATAATGACAAGAAGTATGATTTTGTGGTTGCTTATGTTGCTGCTTTCTCCTGATCATGTGTTGGTGTTGGTAATAAAGATGGAGACAGCGCCAATGTTGACTTCAACGCTAACGTCAGCTTTATGTCCTCGTGCTTTTGGTAATTTATCACTTTTCGTATTTTCACAGAAGCGTGTACGTATGTGCTTATAGCTACAATACGAGTAGTTCAAGGATATGACTGAGCTATGTTTGTAAGGCAGTGGCGTTATATAAAGCAAAGAAAAGGTTGCCATTGCACCTTTATATATGGAAAGTAGAGCGCATGATATTGCAGCTTTAGAAATTTAATTAACATGTACATACATATGTCTACGATAGCGTAGAGTATGCAAGTATATTGTTTAAAGCTGTTAAACTTCCTTCAGTTATTACAGCAGTGCTTATATGGCATTTTCTAACAATTTTCTTTAATATTAAAAACATACATTTAAATTTGCAATAAAAATTTTAAAATAAAAGTTCACACTTTGTTGGACACGTAAATGTGATTCGGACTTTTCACCTATATCTTCACATACATATATACATAAATATA